GAATGGAGGGAGGGGGAGTGGGTTTCCAGAATCCATCATAAACTGAATTTAAAAATTATATCTTAGCTGGATGCTGGAGAATAGTCCTGTTTTGGCACTGTATTACTGTGCAGAGCAGGAAAGTACATAGGATTAGTACAGTGCTCTGTCATCAGTCTCTGTATTTTCAAGTTCTTTTCAGCTGCCGACCTTTTCTTTGTATTCAATTACATGCCTTAAGGCATATATTTAATAGATTTTACTAATTAAAATCACTTGCAATATATATATATATATAGACTTAAGATTTTTACAAAATCTGGTACCTAAGCTGAGAAACTTCACAAAACCGAGAAAATGTCTCCTTTTACTTACAGCTTTTCAGTCAGTTCTGTGTCCTGGACATGTGTGTTCTGTACCTCCCCTGAGTGGTTCCTTGTCACTTTCTTTTCTCCCTGCTGGAGTGACAGGACAGGAGCTTCTTGAATTATTTTTTTTTCTTCCTTAAGTTGTGCGCTTAAGTCTGGTGATAATTCACAGAATCATAAAATACCCTGAGTTGGAAGGGCCCCACAAGGATCATCGAAGTTTGACTCCTGGTGCTGCACAGGTCAGCCCCAAGAATCACACTGTGTGCCTGAGAGTATTGTCCAACACTTTTTGAACTCTCTGGCTTGGTTCTGTGACCGCATCCCTGGGGAGCCTGTTCCAGTGCTCTGAAGAACAACCCTCTGAAGAGCCTTTTCCTAATATCCAACCTAAACCTCCCCTGTCACAGCTTCTTACCATTCCTTTGGGTCCTGTCACTGGCCACCAGAGAGATGAGTGTCTGTCCCTTCACTTCCCCTAGTGAGGAAGTTTTAGGCTTCTATGAGGTGTTTCCTCAGCGTCCTCTCCTCCAGACTGAACAAGCTAAGTGACCTTGGACACTCCTCATTTGGCTTCCCTTCTAGGCCCTTCACCATTTTCGTAGCCTCCTTTGGATGTTCTCTGATATCTTTCTATCCCTCTGATATTTTGTCTCTCAAAGCTGCACACAGTATTTGAGGTGAGGCCACACCAGCACAGACTAGAGCAGGACAACATTCCTTGACTTATAGTGCTTTTGCGTGCAGCTGTTGGGCAGGTTACTTTCTGATTTTGAATCTGAATGAGCACTTTCCATTTACTGTTGGTAAAAGTTACCAGCTGTAATTTTTTTTGTTACTACAGTTTAACTGTATTTCACAGATGTTGATATCAGTTGAGTATTCAGTATAGGAGACTATATATGGAGAATCTTTGAAATGTTTCTGGTGGAGTCCAGGTTTCAGCAGATCTTCTGGGAGGGCTTTGCCTGGTGGTGGTGAAGGTTGCAAAAGTGGGAGCTTGGATCATGGGAGCATCCTGAGTTGGGGAAAGAGGAGAAGTAGAGTCTGATGGAGGGAATGGAAGCAAAGCCCAAAAGTAGTTGATGTTGGGTGTCCATTAACTAGCACGCAGGCATGGCACTTGCTGTCCTGTGGGGCCAGTAGTATAGCAGTTAGACAAGAAAATGCAATAGCTAAACTTATCCTTATGGCTGGGGAGAAAATCTGAACAGCCTCCCCAGGGACCTTATCTACTGCCTACAACTACTATTTAACGGTGCACCCTGCTGAATGGGTTCAGTGAATGGATGTTCCTTATAGTAGTCAGACCTGCCTTCTGAAGATAGCTGCAGGCACCAGCTAGCCAAAGTCTTTTGGCTTGGGATACATCTGCAGTGCACGGAAACGTATTGTTCCAAACTGATGGTTTTTTCCCTACTTTTTTCCCTCTAGCCTCGTCATGTATTCAACATGCTGAAGAAGTACGTGCGTGCTGAGCAGAAAGACAGACAGCACACCCTCAAACACTTCGAACACGTCCGCATGGTAGACCCAAAGAAAGCTGCTCAAATCAGATCTCAGGTAACCCACCAAGGGTTAGTGGGGCCGTGTTTGTTCAGAACCTTTGTGAAATCTCTGCCAACCTATTTTTTAAATAATGCCTGACTCCTTTCTGTTGACATCTTTATATGCAATCAAAAATCTGCTCTCCATCAGAAGGTTGAGGCAAAGTGATATAGTAGTCTGGATATGATTTTTATTCTGAGAATAACTGGAAAACAGGTTTTCTGTCTATCCAGACAGTGGGTCAGTCTTGGGCATTTCCTGAGGAGCCTTCCAGAGCATTATTGCTGGGAGCCTTTATTAGTGCTTTGATAAATAATACCTCCGGGTAAACGTCAGTAATAGATTTAGCAACCACATGTGGTTGTGCTTCCCTCAGCTGAAGTGGCAGAACCTGAAGTGCTGTAGCCGTCTGACTGCAACCAACCTTTCTGTAGTCATTGCAGAGGTACTTGTAATTGTCTATAAATGTGATTACTGTGATGCACTCAAGTTTAATGTGTTCTTTTGAAATAGACATGGTAGTTCATGGCATTTTAACTGCTGAATGTTACTGCAGATCTCAATGTGTATGTTTTGGAACAGCTTTTATGTTGCCTTCATAAATCATGGAGGGTGAGAAAGCAAAAGAGAAAAAAAAACAACATTGAAGATGTAGCTGGCTTTCAAAACAGCAATTAAAATTGGAGGCACAATGGATAAGCTGTAAAAACCGTGTGCTGGAGTCTGGTGCTCTTTCCTCTGCAGGATTCAATGGCAGGCACTCTTCCAGCCACAGTTTTTAAACTGTCTGGCATTGCTAAAAGCCACATCAAAACCATGTACTGCCCTGAATGGTGTATTAGACTTCTCAAACATCTGTCTCAGCCAGATGTGTACATTGAGATCATGTTGTCTTGAAATTGCTGGAGTTAGAAATGCACAGTTCTAACAGTCTTCTGCAGTGACAGTTGTCTTTACCTCATCTTAAGCATCTAACATGACTTTAGTTTCTAAATCACTGAATCATTTAATAACAAAAACTAGTGAAATTTTGCAGAGTGCAGGTTGTGTGGCAGAACGTGTGAAAAATGGAAACTGATACTTAAATACAAGAAGTGCAGCATATTGCTTAGCATGTCATCCCAGGAATGAGTATTCATAGAGCATCTTTGCTTCTTGATTTGGTCAGAAGATTGGGGAAATGTAGCCTGGAGCATCTGTTTGTGAAAATGTTTTCCATGGAAAATGGAAAGGAGCATATTTTATTCAAAACCATAAACATTTTATTTGGATTTGAAGAAATCATAGCCTTTTTTAATCAAAATTGCTGTTTGCAACCCATTTTCCTTTCTAGGCCTAATTACCCTGTCAGTCTTCTAAGTCTTTTAAGATGCACCTCAGTTTCTCTTTCTGCTGAAGAAAGGTGTTACTTGTTGAGAGTACTCTTGTCAAGAGTACCTTGGGGTAGCATATATCACGTGGTGTCATGACTCAACTTATAGAAATGTGCAGGCACCAGAGGCAGTTGAGTTGTAATCACATGAGACAACACAGTAGTGCTTCTGGGTGGAAATATTTTTGTTTTCAGCTGAAAATGCTGGTATATGTTTTTACAAAGCTACTTTTTTTATTCTCTTCTGGTGAGCTGTTTCTTTCTACAATATTGGGATTTTTAAAAATAAATAAATAAATCATACCAAACAGCTGAAACATTTTGATGCAGTAGTTTGTGTCTTATGTGAAAACTTTTAGGGTATGGGCAAATATAAATGTTGTTGAAAAATGAATGAGGCCATGGATTTCTGCCACAATAGCTCCTTGTGTACATGCTCTGCCCCGTAGCACTTGTAAATCCCTATTTTAAATTATCCCATGGGATTTCATCTAGAACACTATTTTTGTAGCAGCTGTAGGAGAGAGGTGAATTTTGTCATGGATTTGACAGTTTCTGTACATGGAGCATACTGAAATCTTAGACCTAGCACAAATGAAAACTGTCTTGCTTTCTGTAACCTATAAAACATCTGATAATGTCAAATTATCCATGGTACTCCCCTTCTTAAAATACTCTTGTTTCCATAGGTTATGACACATCTACGTGTGATATATGAACGCATGAACCAGTCTCTCTCCTTCCTCTACAATGTGCCTGCAGTGGCAGAGGAGATCCAGGATGAAGTCGGTATGCAAACTATTAATGTAGAAAAAGGGATATATTTCTATGATAAAAAATTGCCACCAAAAGCTAAAATATATCAATTCACTTTTCCTATTGGTATACTGTCTCAGCCGAAAAACAGGAGAGTAAACCTGCCAATATTCTTAAATATTGAATTAAATTATACTGAATACTTGGAAGACAAATTCTGTATAACCTATGCAGTGGCAGCATCAAGTTGTCATAAATGTCTTCCCTGAAATATGTTAATTCACATTTGGAATCTCTATGCAATATGGATGCAGCTATTGACACTGAGACTTAGCAACTCTTTCCTGGGTTCAGGTACTTAATTTACATGGTAAGTATTTACATCATGTGATATAGACATCTTGGAAATCCCACAGCTGAAAAATTAGTTGCAGACCCAAGCATCCGAGACAAGTGTAAGTATCAACTTGGCAGTATCCTAATGATCGTGCATTTAGTTCTTGATTAGTTGGTCAAATAGATTATTCCTGCCCTCCCATTTTTTTCCAGCACACAAGCTGTCTGTGGAGGAATCAGGTAGCAACAGTCCCATGTTTGCATCTTACCCGAGTGCTATCATGGCAGATAGCTATGAGGGAGAATGGTCTTTCCTTCCATTCAGATTCTTGCTCTTGGCTGTGGCATTGCTGCAACAGAGAGATCTCCATCACAGCGCTCGGGCTCTTCTGTGTTCTGCTGTTGCAGCAAGGCAACTTCATTTAGCCTGTATTAATTTCAGATACTGTTACAGTTTTGGACTTCACATTGCTAATGTGTGTCTCTTTAAGAAAAGTAGTACATGGCTAAACATAAAGGCAGGAGATGAGACAGTCATTGTCTTTGGAACAGCTTTTTTCACAAGGTGGGATACTCTGCCAAATGGCAGCTAACGGGTTAGTTTCACAAATAACCATCTTCAGCTGACTAAATCAGTTACTGATTTCCTTAAAACACGAGGGAAACGTGCCATTGCAGTAAGGATTAGGATGTGTTTAGGCACAGGGAGGGGATGGACAGGGAGTAGTGGTAGATTCATTTGCCCAAAGCATAAATTAGAAAGGAGATGTATTTCCACTTGTGAGGTAGCTTGAGAGGGCTGGGGATGAGATCAGGAAATTGTGGAAGGGATTGGAAGGAAACAAAAAGATAACTGGCTAGTAATTACCCTTCACCATATGTTTCTGTGTTCCACGTATGGCACAATCAGCAGTCTCAGTCTATAGATGTAGAAGGGCCTTTGTGAGGGGACAGCATCTTACTGATCATTTGAAAGCATATCATTTCTTTAGCAAAGAAGGTGTCAATACTGTTAGGTCTCTGAGATGCTCAGTTTGTTTTCTTTTTGCACTGCTATCATTCCCTTGGGGTTTTTTGTTTTAAGTTTCAATTTTTTCTATTCTTGGTAATGTTAATTCTTGTTGGTGAGGAGACTTTTAAATTTTCTTCTCCTTTCTATTAAATGGGATGGGAATTTCAGAGTCTTTGAAATGACATGAGAGCAAGTCTATTAACTGCTGAGTGGTTTACAAAAATCTGCCTCCTAATCTCAAATGTAATACTAATTTTTAGGGGAAAAAAGAGCCTAAAATTAGTAGGATATTATTTCCTAATAAGATGAGAGCAGCTAAGAAATCTCAAAAGAAACATCTGTCACAGTCTCTTGATTATTTTTTCCCTACCTTGATGATTTTAATTTTTTTTGTGGTTTAGGCTATGCTAAAAACTATTCAAAGTGTTACAAAGTTTAAAACAACGTAAACGAAGTTCTCATTCCAGGAGTTACTAGGCAACACAAATTAAAGAACTATCAGATCTAAGCTGTACTAGATACAATAGTTTTCAGTAATGAGAAGAAAGCCTAATGTCTTTAACATTCTCCTTGTTGGTAACACTAGCTGTATGGTTGGTCTTACATGTTGGTTTTAATGCAAGTTTGTGAAGGTCATTCCCATCGGTTAAAGGAGACAGTATCCCTCTAGCTTTGAGGACTGATCAGCCTGTTTCAAATTCTGTCCTGAAATTACTGAATTTCTTAGCCTCTGTACTCTTCCTAAACACATGGAAAAGGACATCTATTACAGCTGCAGAATCTGTGGAGAAGTACAATTCTAATAAAATTGCACTATGTAGCATTCCCAAGAAATATTGCAACTCTCATTATAAAGACAAATGTTTAATTAAATACCTTTTGTTAGAACCATTGACTTAGAAAGTCTGCGTCAATAGAAAAGTTGAAAAATAACCTAGGTAAGAACATCTCACACACAGAGTGTCTGAATAATAAATTGCGTGTAAGGAGACATGGTTGAAAATAGGTTTAGTTCTTTTTTTTTTTTGTTCATTGTAGTTTCAGATTCTAGTTCCACTCTTTACTGCAGACATTTTGTGAACGGTTTTCACCTTGAGGAATGAAAAATCTTTGCTTTAGAAGACAGAGCTCTGACAAAGGTAGTTTTTCGCTAAATTAAACAAGTAGCTCTGTAAGCAGCAAAATTAATGAGATCTAGTTTGCTTTGAATTTGTACCTTGGGTTTATTTCCTCTTACATCTAACAAGGTGCTGGTTTTTACTAGATTTTTCTCATTGCTAGAAATATTATGAGCCAATTTTGCACAGTTTCTCCATATTAGTTGTTGATAAAGTTGAATCTCAAGTCTTGGGATTTAATTACCTTTTTTTGGAAGCTAAAATAAAAATACATGAAAATTTCCCTTCTGTCTTCCTGGCAGTCTACTACCAAAGGTTCATCTGTGAGTAGTAGGTGGTGCTCTGTCACTGGAAGATGGATGTGCCTGAACATAAGGTGCACACTTTTAATTCCTGTCTGTTATATTTGAAGTCTTTCTGCTGAGCAATGAATTTGAATTTTATGAAATAGGTTCTAGAGTTATGCCTTGGGCATAGCTGCTGCATCAAGAATGTTTTCTTCAACAGTCTGAAGATTCTTTGAATAATGCTTGGTGATCAGATAAATCATGGTCCAACAGTTGGAGATTTGAAGTATTAAAATACAGGATGTGTTTGAAGTTCCTACCTCAAAAGACAGGTTTAGAGCAATAGTTTTAATGTGTAGAATCCAAAATACAAAATCCTTTTGCATAGAAGCTTTTAGATTCTGTGCTAAAAGCAGGCTCATATGCCTTTTAAAAGCAGCCTTTTCTTGTTATTTTCGTAACTCCAGCAGAGATGGTGCCAGGAAGTTAGAGTAAAAGTTAAGAGTTGTAGTCCTTATCTGCAGGTATTCATCACCAGCTGATGTATGCTGGCTTTAACAGTGGGTATGTGGTATGAGTACCTGGATATATAGGAAGGCCTACAGCACTCCAAGGGATAGAAAACAGCAATTAAGTCAAGTGAGGATTTTCTTGCTAAGCATTTGACCAGTGTGTAATGTGCAAATCTCTCATTAGGGTGACAGGCACCTATTGTAGCAGCAAATTCCAGATGTGTGAGGTAGGATACTGCTGGCTGTCTTTGGTTCATGTTGAGGCATGAAGAAAAGGGCAAAGGTGAGAGTTGCAGAACGGTCTGTCTGATCATGACTGTTCTGACAAAGCTTGGCAAGCATAAGCAGGTCATTTGGGTATGAGACCATTTGGCATTCTGGCTGCAAATTCTCATGGGGCAGTGATGCATGCGTGCTCTCTCAGCAACTGGTGTAGTTCTTGGTGTTAAATGGGGTTTCTCATGAGCAAGAGTTTGCTCCACAGAGAGCAGCACAGAAAATCTGAGAAGGTATATTTGCACACTGCAGGTGAGCAGATTGTTTGCTTACCTAGGTGTTTGTACTCACCTTTTGCCCTCTGATAAATCTCATATGCTATTTAATATGTATAAAAGCCTAGAGAGAGCAGCAGTAGGCTTTAAGAGAAATCAGCAGTTCCTTTGAGCACATCCTGCTTTAAATCCTTATTTGATTAGACTGCTTATCCATGTATGTAAAAGGCAATTTATTGCTGGAAGTGGCACAGCAGGCACAGCTTCTGAATCAGAAGCTACATCAGAGCTTTGTGCATTGGTCACATGGACAGGCAGTGAGCTGAATTTTTAATTGTCTTTGCTGCTCATTTCCAAACTGATGACCTCAGCTCCATGTTTTCTAGCCCACCACTGATGAAATATTCAGCACTGTATTAATAGTACAGCAGTATTGTACCTAAGCTCTGAAACGTTCACTTAGGAGCGATAAGAATATGATTTTGTCTGTCCCTTGACAAAATAGAATCAAGCTATTGTTATTTTATTATGCTGTTCCACTCTGTCCCGTTCTTCTGCAGCCTTTTCTGGATGCCACACTCACATTATGTAGCTGGAAGAGAAGACAAACCCAGGCAGACCCCAGATCACTTGCTTTCAGAGTGCTGTGGGTCAGGTGCTATTTCAGGTATTTGTATGCTCCAGCCTGGCATGACAAAATTTGAACAAGAGAGATTTGCCTCTTGACATTTGCTTCACAACTTCCTGTGAAGGTTCTTGTGAGTAGTTTTAGAAAATGGACAAGCTGCAGACTAAAGATGTCTGAAGATTTGCTTTCTTATAACCCCTCCTCTTTAACCATCAGGCACTTATACCTGTCAGTCTGCATCTGTGAAGGGCAAACTTAGCACTACCTCAGCTGGTTTTGGTCTTTCAGCATTTATTAGACTAATTGTTGTTTTCTTGTTTCTAGCTGCTACTTCTGACCCAAAGACAACTCATAGCCTTGCTGCATTGTTTGCCATGAGTTTCACTTAGGATGCTCTTCTCCATTCATTTTGTGGTATCTTCCTTAAGAAGTTTGAGGGCATTAGTTGCTTGCCGCAGGCTGACAGCACAAAACAGCAACCATTGTGGTTTGGGGATTGATATTGCAAAACCAAAACATGCCCTTGGGTGCTTTGCAGAAGCAAATTCTGTGTCTGTCCTGTTTGGCACCATTTCTTTTGTGATTGTTTTCTTCATCCTTTCCCTTAAAATACTACTTTTTGAATATGTAATTAGTAATGTCTTACAGA